AACCGGGCAGCCGAAGGAAGAACCAGCGGTGTCTTCAAAAAGAGAAGCAGGCAAAGGAATGGTACAGCAGGCCCCAACCCGGGCAGCCGTTGGATATGTATGAGGCAACTGTTATTTGGGTTCCTTATTTCTGAACTCTTCACGGAGTAGTCCTCTAGATCGCTCATTACCCAATCCCTTCTTCGATAAGAATTATCGTTGTGTGTTGTTCTGAGTGTTTTATTTCAACTGCTCACAAAGATGGAGTCATCTAGGAGAAGGGTTTACAGCAGACTGTCTTCCGTTTATACACGGAAAAGGAGAACAGGAAGATGGAGTCAACGCTCTCGAGATAGTGAGGGAGAAGCGTATGATAGGCGTCAAGACTTGCCATTTCTGGTAAGAAGTATCGTGAAGGACGAATTGGAGTTGTTCAAATTGCAACACGGGCTCCATGGACAGATAACAGATCTTCTTGTTTGCATGAGAAAGACAGAAGCTATACTGAACAAACTCTCGGATAACAACTACATGATTGTCCGAGCTCCCAAATTCAGAAAAAGAGTCAGATTGCTGGGAAAGACCTCGAGGAGCAGTCATCGAATCCGCTTGACAGCTTCGGCTCCAGAGATCAATTCTGTGAAGAGTGGAAGAAGTTGGGTTAAAAAATCTCAAAGATCATTTAAACAGGCCATTGACAATATTATACCAGATCAAGATTCCAGCGAATGTTGTGCAGAAAATATTTCCGTCTTTCCTGTTGAGAACGTCAAATGTCAAATTCCATCTGCAACTCTCAATTCTAACCCTCTGACTCAATCATCTTCTCAAAGCATCAACATAACAGGAACATCCACAGCTCATACCGACAAGAACGAGCCTCCAAACGTCAACCCCCCAACTCAACCATTTTGTCAGAGTGCCGTCAATACAACATCCACAGCTAAGAAGAACAAGAAATCCACACCTCCAAACGTCAACCCCCCAACTCAACCATCTTGTCAGAGTGCCGTCAATACAACATCCACAGCTAAGAAGAACAAGGAAGCCACACTTCCAAACGTCAACCCACCAACTCAACCATCTTGTCAGAGTGCCGTCAATACAACATCCACAGCTAAGAAGAACAAGAAATCCACACCTCCAAACGTCAACCCCCCAAACTCAACCATCTTGTCAGAGTGCCGTCAATACAACATCCACAGCTAAGAAGAACAAGAAATCCACACCTCCAAACGTCAACCCCCCAACTCAACCATCTTGTCAGAGTGCCGTCAATACAACATCCACAGCTAAGAAGAACAAGAAATCGACACCTCCAAACGTCAACCCCCCCAACTCAACCATCTTGTCAGAGTGCCGTCAATACAACATCCACAGCTAAGAAGAACAAGAAATCCACACCTCCAAACGTCAACCCCCCAACTCAACCATCTTGTCAGAGTGCCGTCAATACAACATCCACAGCTAAGAAGAACAAGGAAGCCACACTTCCAAACGTCAACCCACCAACTCAACCATCTTGTCAGAGTGCCGTCAATACAACATCCACAGCTAAGAAGAACAAGAAATCCACACCTCCAAACGTCAACCCCCCCAACTCAACCATCTTGTCAGAGTGCCGTCAATACAACATCCACAGCTAAGAAGAACAAGAAATCCACACCTCCAAACGTCAACCCCCCAACTCAACCATCTTGTCAGAGTGCCGTCAATACAACATCCACAGCTAAAAAGAACAAGAAATCCACACCTCCAAACGTCAACCCCCCAACTCAACCATCTTGTCAGAGTGCCGTCAATACAACATCTACAGCTAAGAAGAACAAGGAAGCCACACCTCCAAACGTCAACCCCCCAACTCAACCATCTTGTCAGAGTGCCGTCAATACAACATCCACAGCTAAGAAGAACAAGAAATCCACACCTCCAAACGTCAACCCCCCAACTCAACCATCTTGTCAGAGTGCCGTCAATACAACATCCACAGCTAAGAAGAACAAGAAATCCACACCTCCAAACGTCAACCCCCCAACTCAACCATCTTGTCAGAGTGCCGTCAATACAACATCCACAGCTAAAGAGAACAAGAAATCCACACCTCCAAACGTCAACCCCCCAACTCAACCATCTTGTCAGAGTGCCGTCAAAACAACATCCACAGCTAAGAAGAACAAGGAAGCCACACTTCCAAACGTCAACCCCCCAACTCAACCCTCTTCTGCTACTCTGAGAAGAAGAAGGAGAAGAAGAAGAAGAAGGAGAAGAAGAAGAAGAGAGAGTCAATGCAGCGACAACCACACCACGAGCTCACAAGAACAAGAATTCCACAGTAGCCAATCCACTTGAATCATCTTCGCCAAGCATCAATACAACAACATCCTCAGCTCATACAAGAACGACTCAATCATCGTCACAAAGTCACCATGTTTCATTCTTGCGCCTCGTGGCGTCAGTTGCTATAGAATGAATGCGTTTCCTGTGAATAGTACTTCAAACAAAACAAATGGCAATCGGACGTGTTGTAGCATTTAATGGTTTCGTTAAACCTGGAATTGGATTACCCAGAGATTCCCCAAAAACCATCGAAGAAACAGAATTCTGACTTGAGTTTTGGATCGATGAGAATCTCTGTGTTGTAGAATTTGGATTTCATCTCTGTTGTAGAACACTTGTGTTTAAGATTCCTCTATTGTGGGCAGCCTTGAGCGCATCACCGCTTTTGGTTTAATGTGTAGAGATTGACGAAGATGCCTGATGATGTTTCAACAAATAGATTTCTGATCAATTTGTCGATTGGTGTTCTACACTCGTGTACTGGGCAAATAATAGTAGGTTACGTTAGGAGGTAGAGACTGGGTACATCGCGGAGTACTTGATTTTGGTGAAGTTATCTTAACAATGCAGACCCGCTATTTTTTTCAAAATGCCACAATGGAGCGAGCTGAGTGAGCGAGTCAGACTCTATTGAGGATCAGTTGTCACTTCCAGCTTCTCTAAGTCGAAGCTTCCGTATTTCCAAGCAGCCATGCTGCCACTATTCCCTCAAGGCGTCAGTGGCTCTTTGAGCGCCCACTCTAATTCTCTTGACTGCTCCGCCGACTCTCATTCTCCTGACGGTCCTTCTTCCTCAGACAAGGCTTCTACAAGTAGTTCCAGAAAGTTCGTGGCCATGCGTAGTCAAGACAACGGCTTTTTATGTGCTTCCAAAGAGAATGGCAAGACCTCTTCTTCCGTTTCGAAAGACAATCGCTCGAAAGTCAAGACCTCTTCTTCCGTTCTTTTTTCGTTTCAAGGAACGGCAAGACGTCTGAAGCCATTCGTTCGAAAGACAGGAAAAGGAAGAGTGTGCGAGACTGCCAAAGGAAAAGCGATTTTATTTTACGAAGACGGCCAATCCCTTTTCATCCCCAATGGTTGGTCAAAGGCAAGAAAGCCACCTCTTCGCCGGAAGATGAGATCTTTACTTCTCCGGACGGTAGGACTTGGTACATGGATCACAAAAGGACGAAGGGGTAGCTCTCCCTTTTCAAGCCCCACAATTTTTTCCAACAAGTCGCCAATCGTCAATGTACCCACCGTGCCTGAGATGTGACCACGTGTAGTCTGACCTTTTCGTTCTAGCATTTTTCTTTTACCGTTGACGTTTGTTGGTCTGAATATTTCCATAATCTTCACTAGTGTTTCAAATGCATAGATCGCATGAGTTTCCTGTCTTTTTCTTTATTGTTGGTTTTTCACGTTCGTTATAGAACGGAGGGGAATTCCAGGCCCACGATTGAAGAGCCAACAACACTTAGCCGATCGGCCAAGCGGCAAAAAAGGCGGCTTCTCAGGTGTGGTTCTCAGAAACACTCAATTTGGTTCATGAAGAGTAGAGAGCAGACGGACTTCAGTTGGATGTCATCCGCCGCATTAGTCGAATATTCAGCAATTTTCTGTTGCAGCAATCGTGTGGATAGAAAATCTTAAGATGGTTTCAGTCCGTAATTGAGCTGGTAAGGGGGGATACAGTCGAGGATGAGGTTTAGAGACCACTTGCCTCTTTGGCTCTAAAGCCAAAAAGAAGTTTGACTGACAGATGAGTCAAATGGTCATAGAATTTCTTTTGTTGAGGGACAACGTAGTCCATCAATACGTGCAGTATCCACAGTGGCAAATGCTTGCTTTCGAATCCAAGGAAAATTTGAAGCATCGAGCACTCACTTCCAAGTGGGAAAGCATCACGAGGTGCTCGACTGCATTGAATCGACTGCTGACTACTGAGTCTTAATGAACTGAAAGATTAAAGGGGGCGTTGTAGGCAACGTCTTCACCAGTTCGATGAATCGACCCATAGTATGTTCAAACCTGAAACAAAAGCTGCTTGAAAGCTGAAGGCAGTTAATTTTTAATTGCTGTTTTTACTGTCCCCCCTTTTATCACGTGACTCAAACACACACTTTGTCTTAACTTCCATCCAAGTCCTCCTTCGAGGTCAACTAAGGCAGGCTCCGCTGTGACTGGTCCAGAATTAGTATGCGAAAACCGTCAGAAAGGGCCATACATGAGTTAGAAGAAACTCCAGTTGGTGAAACGTGCCATATTGCCAGGAGCTCCAGGGTGTTCCATTAACTATATTCTGCAATCTTAACAAAGCATACGACTCTCTCGCCTTTTACTAGAGCGCCCTGTGTGGAGATTGTGTTGAAAGCTTGAATTTATTGGGGTGATTCGTCGCCTAACAGATTGGTTGGATTTGGTTTCATTGCATTTATATACATACAACGGCACAGCTGCAGTTTGTCAGCAGATCTTCAAGATTAGGGCAAACAAGCTACAACGTGGCGCCTTCCTCTATTACAAATTGTTTCATTGTAAATTATTACACTGGTTTGTCTTATGGAGTATCCAAATGGTTTCTCTGTGAGAACAAAAGATGATACAAAAGAGGAATACGACAATCTTCGTACTTGTCTTCTCCACATTTGAGCATACTGACCATTGGGGATGGTCAACAATTCGTCGTGAGTTCCAAATTCCTGCATAAAATATGGATTGATGAAACACCATTTGAGTGAACATACCTCAACTCTTCCCTTGTTCAAAAAATAGATGCGGTCTGAGTCAAGAATTGTGGATAATCGATGGGCAATGACGAGGCTTGTCCTTCCGGTGGTCATAGCCTGGTCAAAGAACAATGATGAGGATGTTCCAAGTGCAACAGTTTCCTGTTTACTTTGAACGCATTCAAAACGTCATGTTCCGTTGAAGAATCTAATGCGGAAGTCGCCTCATCGAGAATGACAACTTTCGGATTTCTGGAACAATAAGAAACATCCGCTACTGAGATTGGCTTAACGAAAAGACTCTACCTCAGTAAACATCTACCAATTCCGACACGTTGCTTCTCTCCGCCTGAGAGCTTCAGTCCGCGCTCCCCAACGATCGTGTCAAATCCCTGAAACCACAAGAAGTGAGAGGATGGAGACTGAAGTTTTCAGAACAAATAAGGAGAAGGTCGGATGCGTATTCAAGTGTTGTAATGGCATGCTCGCATACATTGGGAAAGTTGTTCATAACAACATGATACAACTGCGCCGCTTTAGCAGCTTCGATGACTTCATTATATGTCGCTTCAGTTTTTCCATATTGCAAATTATAGAAGATTGATTCATTGAACAAAACAATATCTTGAGGAACAACGCCGATGTGTTGCCTGATCAATGCAAGCCTCTGAACAGAACTTCTTGGAGTTCTTTCACCTGAATGATAAAAGATCTAATGTCCTCAAATCTTGTCCATCAAAGCAGATTCTTCCCGATACAGGGTCGTAGAGACGATACAACATTTTCACAAGAGATGTTTTTCCGGATCCCGAAGGACCAACAACACCAACTTTCCATCCTGGCTGAATTTCCAAATTCAAACCTAGAATCAAAAGACAATAACCATTATGTTGTAGATGCGTCGTATGTTAACTAACCGGAGAAGATCGGGATAGGAGCGGAGTGTTTGCGGCTTCCCTCTTTTTTATCTTTGTCCAGCTTCACGTCTTGTAACGTCTCGAATTGAGAACGATACTCAAAGGAAACATCTTCAAACTTGATCAAGCCGCCATTTCTATTGAGAACTCACAGAACTTCTGTGAATGGATTCTTGGCTCTTGATCAAAACATACTTGAACTCAAACTGCTGAGCACTTGGGGGTGAAGTGCATTTTGGTTGCAGTGACAGAAGACTGTGGAGCTGAAAAGGATGAAAGGAGCGGGTAAGAAAAAATCCTTCCATGGACGAGAGAGAACTCGAATCCACTACCAGCACCACAAGCACAACTTCTACTACCAGCACCACAAGCACAACTTCTACTACGAGCACCACAAGCACAACTTCTACTACGAGCACCACAAGCACAACTTCTACTACGAGCACCACAAGCACAACTTCTACTACGAGCACCACAAGCACAACTCGAATTCACGCGCTGATACCTTTTCAAGATCGATGAGATTCAATTTGGTTTCACGATAAACAGATCCAATCATGTTCAGGGGGATTGCTAACTGAAAAAGTAAAGATGTAACGAACGCCATGTGACCTTGAAGGAGAAAGACGGAATGAGTTGAGCGCGTGTCAGGAGTTCCCTCACCAACGGGAACAACTCCAGCAGAGATTTGCAAAGCAGTAGCAACCATCGCAGCAAAAAGTCCCAGATTGAAGATTGTTTGTTGACCGAAGTTGAGAAATGCAAGAGATCTAGCAACCTGTCAAAAGCTGATGATATGAAGGGTGCAACTTGCATGAAGACCATATGAGTAAAGAATGCATGTATGAAGAGTGCTCGGGAGTTGTGGCCATGCCAACTGCTAAGGAATATTCACGAGTAAGATTGATAGACAATAATTGCGACTGCAGCTACATGAATGGGCGATCAACTCACTCTTATGTTTGCTTCTTGAAATTGATTCTGAAAATCTTGATATCTCTCCAATTCGAAACACTCGTTTGTAAAAAATCTGGCAAAAAGGAATTCAATCAGTGGGATAAATAATTGACTTTCTATCCGATAAGATGGAAACACTTGTTCCAATTAGTTCACCTCACAGCTTCGGCGTTTGTCAATGAGTCTGTCATCACTCCAGCAGCTTTTTGTTCAGCTCGATTCATATCCTTCCTGTATTCTGTTCTCCTTGCAGTCACTCGCATCGTAAATGCAACATACGCCACCATCGTGAGAGTCGTGATTCCTAGAACACTTTCGTCCAAAAAGACAAGCACTCTGTTGAACATTACCTGCAACCTCTGGACCCAATTTCCAAGCTAATAACGACAACACGAGACTGAATTCCAATAGAGTAGGAATGACTTGGAACAGCATCATATTCAGTAATTGGGTGATCGAACGTATTCCGCTGATAGAAAAGGAAAGAAACACTCAGAGATACTTCTACAATTGCTTTTCTCAATCACTTCAAAGAGAACATACCGTGAGAGGATAGTTGTCAACTCTCCAGATTTCGATAGAAGAATAAAATCAAGGTCTGGCAAAGAAGAAGGCATCACTAAAACTCGACTCTATGGATGGTGTGTCGATCCTTGCGTTGATTCGATCAACTAACGGAACTCAATCGAGACGATGTTTAAACAAAGATTTTACCTAACTGGTGAAGATGGGCGAATGTTTGACATGAAATGCTATTGCATGCGGAGTGAGAAACCTTGATTACAAAAAGAAACCAGATTGCGATGCTCTTCCAAACTGCGTATGAATCGAGTGAATGAAGCCACGCAACGCAGGAGAGACTCAGGTGTGTCAACAAACCTTGCTGAAGATTGCGTTGCGCAATTCATTAAAGCCAGAACTCGCAACTCGAGCCAAAGCATAACCTGAGACTAATGCTGAAAGAAAAAACAGAAACAACTAATTTTCAGGTGACTCTGAGTAGCCAACCTATTGGTATTGAGGCATCAGCCATTAGAAGAGTAGAGAGTGATTCGCCAGCAGCACTGGATTGGAATTCTGCTGAACAGTGCGTCATTGAATCTATGAGCTTTCCCAACAAAAGAGGGGCTTCAATTGTTGCTAATTTGCCAAGAACTAAACATCCAAAAGCCCCAATAACTCGACGACGACAATTTCTACGAGGGTTGGATCAGATAATTCGCTCGACGTCATCTTAGGCACTGCGTACTTGTCAGTGGACCACAAAAACGGCGCCAAGCGACCAAGAGCGGAATTCCCGAATCGATTCGTTTGCGATGGAATATTATTGCGTTGCTTGTTCGTTGTCCCAATTGTAAAGGCACGCACAAACACATTTCCATGATTATGACGTCCGAAGTTGTGACCACATAGGGTCCATATGACTGTTGGCCTTTTGGATTGCTTGAAACTTAATCGCAATCCTCTTGTGAAAATCATACGTACAGTCAAAGGTACTGTCACCTGGAGGACCTTTACCATGGATTCTTCATCAGAGGGCGCCGAGGGAACAGCTCAGCTACAACAAGGCCTCCAGATGCTACAGGCGGTAAGAGCAAAAGGGTCAAGCTTGCCGACTTTTTACGAACATGTTGATTTGTGCAGATAGCAGAAGGCCACAAGCAGATAGTCGAAATCACTGGTTGCTGTTTTGAGCGTTGCGTTAGTTACCCCGGTGAGAAGTGGCCTTTGTCGAGTTCTTCACAGTCTCATCGTCATAGAGCCGGTTAGAAATCGTTATCTTGATCAGGAAAAACACTGGCGTCAAAAGAACAAACGTGCTTGTGGAATTGTGCTCAGGTAAATGTCATTCATTAATCCATCCACCTCCATGTTTCTCAAGAGATTCGCTGAAACGTCCTTTTTCATCAAAAACCGTTCGATCGAGAGACTCAAAAGCGGTGAACTCGCAGCCTCGGGTTCTTTGTCCTAACTGGTAAAGAATACCTGATCATCGCCAGGCTGCCTTCTGTGATCCCAAGTTCATTTGTGTTTCGTGATCATCGCAAGAACCACTGGGTTGCCACTCGTGATTTCATTTTGTCAAATTGTGACAGTGATTGATGACAATGGGACACAGTGACACTCAAAGTGGGTAACTCACATTGAACACGCAACAATTTTCGAATGAAATTGGACTATTCAGAGGTCTACTGGTCCTGTTCCAGAAATGCTAAAGATATATGGAGTAGGAAGGGGGCGTGGACGGACTCCAGAGTCGAATGCCGCTTCGAATGGAGATTCTAAAACTCCTGAAGAAGAAGGCCCCCGAAAGACTCCGGGAGAGATTCGGATGCAAAAAGGTTGTTCATCAATATTCCCTTCTTATCTCATCTGTGCGCCTCAGAACTTGATGATTTAGAGCTTCCACCAGGTTTCTCAATTCAGTTTCCGGATAAAAACGATCTCATGAAGTTTGAACTTCTCGTTCATCCAAGTTCGGGATATTGGAGTGTATGGAATTCCAATGTCGTCTCGCAATCTAACATTTTTTACTCAGACTGGGAAGTTCAAGTTTAGTGTTGTCGTTCCCGTCGGATACCCACACGACGCCCCCAAGGTCAAGTGCGAAACAAAGGTATAGATTAATGGAATATCAATGATTTGAAGAGGATCAATCTCTAGAGCTTTGATCCTGAGAGATAGTCAAAAGAATGATCGAGTGATATAACCAGGGATAGATGATGTACAGATGCCATCGTTCTCCATTACTGTTGTGGAGCGTCATTCTCTCATTGTAGGTTTTCCATCCCAACATCGATACGACGGGGAACGTGTGTTTGAATATTTTGAGGGAAGATTGGAAGCCCGTGCTTTCGCTTGGGAGCATCTTCTATGGAATTTTACATCTTTTTTTGGTGAGAAATGTCGCAGCAATAGAACATAGTTTAGCTCGAAACTGTTCTGCTTCTTAGGAGCCAAACCCTGGGGATCCATTAAACCAAGGTCAGCGATACTTACAATGGATGATCCTTAGAATGGATGATATTTAGAATGGAGAATTTGACTGAGCTTTCTTTCGTCACTTCAGAAGCAGCAGAGATGCTGGCGAATCAAAAATCGAAATTTCAATCGCAAGTTCGTGATTGGATTAGGATGCATGCAATGGACTAGTGATTGTGATTCCCTTTTTGATCCTGAATATTTGAAAACTTTCCATGGATTACTGCAATTCATCAAACTAGCTTCGAAGGATGGGATTAGACACGGCAGAATGGTGACTCTTGTTGTTCGCAAACCCCGTTTGAGGACAAGAGGTTCAATTGTATCGTCTATGAACGATTACAAGATCTTCGAAGAATTCGACTCCGAACAATATCATCGTGGGGAAGAAAAGCTCTTGGGCGGGTGGAGTTGTTGCTGGTGTAGTTGCATGATGTCTAGTTCATTATGATACTGACTTCACCTCATGCTATAATGTCTCAACTGACTTCCAAAGGGGGGCGTGTATACATATGATACCAACGACTCCCAGCAAACATGAAATGTACGACTTTCATTATCCTTACAAACTTCAACATTCTGCACTTTTCTCATAAGACATGCATCCGACTGATAACTGAGTTGGTGGCTCTGGATTTTTATCGCTGGATAATGAAATCTCTGGCGAAGAATCAAAATGCAGCGAGTGAATATCGCGAAAAAAACATCGCTGATGTTAAATCTACAGTAAAAAATATCGGTGATATTGAATCTGAATAAAATGATTTTTTTCTAGACCTCAAGTGGAATCGTTAGTCTCTGATGTTTCGTCTTGTATTGTTGTTGTTGGTGGCGTTGTTGTCTTTTCAGTGGCACAGCGACAGAAGTGTAGGCACTTCCAATCTTGTCCGAAACCGCAATTCTGCTTGCAATGCCTTTCTTCAGGATGTCCAGGAGTTATTGCCTCACAGGGATATCGACAAGTTGGACCGCAGGGTTCGTTACTCTCTGATGTTTCGTCTTGTATTGTTGTTGTTGGTGGCGTTGTTGTCTTTTCAGTGGCACAGCGACAGAATTTGAGGCACTTCCAATCTTGTCCGAAACCGCAATTCTGCTTGCAATGCCTTTCTTCAGGATGTCCAGGAGTTATTGCCTCACAGGGATATCGACAAGTTGGACCGCAGGGTTCGTTCCTCTCTGATGTTTCGTCTTGTATTGTTGTTGTTGGTGGCGTTGTTGTCTTTTCGGTGGCACAGCGACAGAATTTGCGGCACTTCCAATCTTGTCCGAAACCGCAATTCTGCTTGCAATGCCTTTCTTCAGGATGTCCAGGAGTTATTGCCTCACAGGGATATCGACAAGTTGGACCGCAGGGTTCGTTACTCTCTGATGTTTCGTCTTGTATTGTTGTTGTTGGTGGCGTTGTTGTCTTTTCGGTGGCACAGCGACAGAATTTGCGGCACTTCCAATCTTGTCCGAAACCGCAATTCTGCTTGCAATGCCTTTCTTCAGGATGTCCAGGAGTTATTGCCTCACAGGGATATCGACAAGTTGGACCGCAGGGTTCGTTAGTCTCTGATGTTTCGTCTTGTATTGTTGTTGTTGGTGGCGTTGTTGTCTTTTCAGTGGCACAGCGACAGAAGTGTAGGCACTTCCAATCTTGTCCGAAACCGCAATTCTGCTTGCAATGCCTTTCTTCAGGATGTCCAGGAGTTATTGCCTCACAGGGATATCGACAAGTTGGACCGCAGGGTTCGTTACTCTCTGATGTTTCGTCTTGTATTGTTGTTGTTGGTGGCGTTGTTGTCTTTTCGGTGGCACAGCGACAGAATTTGCGGCACTTCCAATCTTGTCCGAAACCGCAATTCTGCTTGCAATGCCTTTCTTCAGGATGTCCAGGAGTTATTGCCTCACAGGGATATCGACAAGTTGGACCGCAGGGTTCGTTAGTCTCTGATGTTTCGTCTTGTATTGTTGTTGTTGGTGGCGTTGTTGTCTTTTCAGTGGCACAGCGACAGAAGTGTAGGCACTTCCAATCTTGTCCGAAACCGCAATTCTGCTTGCAATGCCTTTCTTCAGGATGTCCAGGAGTTATTGCCTCACAGGGATATCGACAAGTTGGACCGCAGGGATCTGCTGAGCCAGCAATTACCAAACAAGCAAAGACTGCGAGAAGAAATTTATAATTTACAAAAATCATGCTGAGGAATTGATGTGATTGCGTTCCAAAGGGGGGCGTGTATGAGACACATGCGTGTCTGGTGTTACATGCATACGTCTCCAGAATTCATCACCAACCGTGGTGACCAACTAGGGACAATTAAACCCAAGTGAACTGATGTGAGAAGATGCCGCTTCTAGCATCCTACGCCAAGTCCTCCAAGGCCTGATGGCTCCTCTGCTTCTGGAGGCTTTCCGAGCTTCCAAGCCATCATCTGTAGATCGCTTATTTTGTTTGTTTCTCAGATGAAGAATACGAAGAAGGTTAAGATGCGTGGAAAAGAACCTCAGCAGGGATCGAGGACTTCAAGTAGTTTGTCATGCATTCTCCGAGACGGAGGCACACTAGTGGCACAAACGAGACCCCGTGGGGTGATACGCGTGTATACATGTGATACCAGACATGCATACGCCTCCTAACAAACATGAAATGTACAACTTTCGGTATCCTTAGCGGCACAAACTTCAACATTCTGAGTTGGTGGCTCTCAATTTTTATCGTTGGATAGTGAAATCTCTGGCGAAGAATTAAAATGCAGCGAGTGAATATCGCGAAAAAAACATCGCTGATGCTAAATCTACAGTAAAAAATATCGGTGAGATTGAATCTCAATAAAATGATTTTTTTCTATCCTCAAGTGGAATCGTTAGTCTCTGATGTTTCGTCTTGTATTGTTGTTGTTGGTGGCGTTGTTGTCTTTTCAGTGGCACAGCGACAGAATTTGAGGCACTTCCAATCTTGTCCGAAACCGCAATTCTGCTTGCAATGCCTTTCTTCAGGATGTCTAGGAGTTATTGCCTCACAGGGATATCGACAAGTTGGACCGCAGGGTTCGTTACTCTCTGATGTTTCGTCTTGTATTGTTGTTGTTGGTGGCGTTGTTGTCTTTTCGGTGGCACAGCGACAGAATTTGCGGCACTTCCAATCTTGTCCGAAACCGCAATTCTGCTTGCAATGCCTTTCTTCAGGATGTCCAGGAGTTATTGCCTCACAGGGATATCGACAAGTTGGACCGCAGGGTTCGTTACTCTCTGATGTTTCGTCTTGTATTGTTGTTGTTGGTGGCGTTGTTGTCTTTTCAGTGGCACAGCGACAGAAGTGTAGGCACTTCCAATCTTGTCCGAAACCGCAATTCTGCTTGCAATGCCTTTCTTCAGGATGTCCAGGAGTTATTGCCTCACAGGGATATCGACAAGTTGGACCGCAGGGTTCGTTAGTCTCTGATGTTTCGTCTTGTATTGTTGTTGTTGGTGGCGTTGTTGTCTTTTCAGTGGCACAGCGACAGAAGTGTAGGCACTTCCAATCTTGTCCGAAACCGCAATTCTGCTTGCAATGCCTTTCTTCAGGATGTCCAGGAGTTATTGCCTCACAGGGATATCGACAAGTTGGACCGCAGGGTTCGTTACTCTCTGATGTTTCGTCTTGTATTGTTGTTGTTGGTGGCGTTGTTGTCTTTTCGGTGGCACAGCGACAGAATTTGCGGCACTTCCAATCTTGTCCGAAACCGCAATTCTGCTTGCAATGCCTTTCTTCAGGATGTCTAGGAGTTATTGCCTCACAGGGATATCGACAAGTTGGACCGCAGGGTTCGTTACTCTCTGATGTTTCGTCTTGTATTGTTGTTGTTGGTGGCGTTGTTGTCTTTTCGGTGGCACAGCGACAGAATTTGCGGCACTTCCAATCTTGTCCGAAACCGCAATTCTGCTTGCAATGCCTTTCTTCAGGATGTCCAGGAGTTATTGCCTCACAGGGATATCGACAAGTTGGACCGCAGGGTTCGTTACTCTCTGATGTTTCGTCTTGTATTGTTGTTGTTGGTGGCGTTGTTGTCTTTTCAGTGGCACAGCGACAGAAGTGTAGGCACTTCCAATCTTGTCCGAAACCGCAATTCTGCTTGCAATGCCTTTCTTCAGGATGTCCAGGAGTTATTGCCTCACAGGGATATCGACAAGTTGGACCGCAGGGTTCGTTAGTCTCTGATGTTTCGTCTTGTATTGTTGTTGTTGGTGGCGTTGTTGTCTTTTCAGTGGCACAGCGACAGAAGTGTAGGCACTTCCAATCTTGTCCGAAACCGCAATTCTGCTTGCAATGCCTTTCTTCAGGATGTCCAGGAGTTATTGCCTCACAGGGATATCGACAAGTTGGACCGCAGGGTTCGTTACTCTCTGATGTTTCGTCTTGTATTGTTGTTGTTGGTGGCGTTGTTGTCTTTTCGGTGGCACAGCGACAGAATTTGCGGCACTTCCAATCTTGTCCGAAACCGCAATTCTGCTTGCAATGCCTTTCTTCAGGATGTCCAGGAGTTATTGCCTCACAGGGATATCGACAAGTTGGACCGCAGGGATCTGCTGAGCCAGCAATTACCAAACAAGCAAAGACTGCGAGAAGAAATTTATAATTTACAAAAATCATGCTGAGGAATTGATGTGATTGCGTTCCAAAGGGGGGCGTGTATGAGACACATGCGTGTCTGGTGTTACATGCATACGTCTCCAGAATTCATCACCAACCGTGGTGACCAACTAGGGACAATTAAACCCAAGTGAACTGATGTGAGAAGATGCCGATTCTAGCATCCTACGCCAAGTCCTCCAAGGCCTGATGGCTCCTCTGCTTCTGGAGGCTTTCCGAGCTTCCAAGCCATCATCTGTAGATCGCTTATTTTGTTTGTTTCTCAGATGAAGAATACGAAGAAGGTTAAGATGCGTGGAAAAGAACCTCAGCAGGGATCGAGGACTTCAAGTAGTTTGTCATGCATTCTCCGAGACGGAGGCACACTAGTGGCACAAACGAGACCCCGTGGGGTGATAACGCTTGTATACATGTGATACCAGACATGCATACGCCCCCTAACAAACATGAAATGTACAACTTTCGGTATCCTTAGCGGCACAAACTTCAACATTCTGAGTTGGTGGCTCTCAATTTTTATCGTTGGATAGTGAAATCTCTGGCGAAGAATTAAAATGCAGCGAGTGAATATCGCGAAAAAAACATCGCTGATGCTAAATCTACAGTAAAAAATATCGGTGAGATTGAATCTCAATAAAATGATTTTTTTCTATACCTCAAGTGGAATCGTTAGTCTCTGATGTTTCGTCTTGTATTGTTGTTGTTGGTGGCGTTGTTGTCTTTTCAGTGGCACAGCGACAGAATTTGAGGCACTTCCAATCTTGTCCGAAACCGCAATTCTGCTTGCAATGCCTTTCTTCAGGATGTCCAGGAGTTATTGCCTCACAGGGATATCGACAAGTTGGACCGCAGGGTTCGTTAGTCTCTGATGTTTCGTCTTGTATTGTTGTTGTTGGTGGCGTTGTTGTCTTTTCAGTGGCACAGCGACAGAAGTGTAGGCACTTCCAATCTTGTCCGAAACCGCAATTCTGCTTGCAATGCCTTTCTTCAGGATGTCCAGGAGTTATTGCCTCACAGGGATATCGACAAGTTGGACCGCAGGGTTCGTTACTCTCTGATGTTTCGTCTTGTATTGTTGTTGTTGGTGGCGTTGTTGTCTTTTCGGTGGCACAGCGACAGAATTTGCGGCACTTCCAATCTTGTCCGAAACCGCAATTCTGCTTGCAATGCCTTTCTTCAGGATGTCCAGGAGTTATTGCCTCACAGGGATATCGACAAGTTGGACCGCAGGGATCTGCTGAGCCAGCAATTACCAAACAAGCAAAGACTGCGAGAAGAAATTTATAATTTACAAAAATCATGCTGAGGAATTGATGTGATTGCGTTCCAAAGGGGGGCGTGTATGAGACACATGCGTGTCTGGTGTTACATGCATACGTCTCCAGAATTCATCACCAACCGTGGTGACCAACTAGGGACAATTAAACCCAAGTGAACTGATGTGAGAAGATGCCGATTCTAGCATCCTACGCCAAGTCCTCCAAGGCCTGATGGCTCCTCTGCTTCTGGAGGCTTTCCGAGCTTCCAAGCCATCATCTGTAGATCGCTTATTTTGTTTGTTTCTCAGATGAAGAATACGAAGAAGGTTAAGATGCGTGGAAAAGAACCTCAGCAGGGATCGAGGACTTCAAGTAGTTTGTCATGCATTCTCCGAGACGGAGGCACACTAGTGGCACAAACGAGACCCCGTGGGGTGATAACGCGTGTATACATGTGATACCAGACATGCATACGCCCCCTAACAAACATGAAATGTACAACTTTCGGTATCCTTAGCGGCACAAACTTCAACATTCTGAGTTGGTGGCTCTCAATTTTTATCGTTGGATAGTGAAATCTCTGGCGAAGAATTAAAATGCAGCGCGTGAATATCGCGAAAAAAACATCGCTGATGCTAAATCTACAGTAAAAAATATCGGTGAGATTGAATCTCAATAAAATGATTTTTTTCTATACCTCAAGTGGAATCGTTAGTCTCTGATGTTTCGTCTTGTATTGTTGTTGTTGGTGGCGTTGTTGTCTTTTCAGTGGCACAGCGACAGAATTTGCGGCACTTCCAATCTTGTCCGAAACCGCAATTCTGCTTGCAATGCCTTTCTTCAGGATGTCCAGGAGTTATTGCCTCACAGGGATATCGACAAGTTGGACCGCAGGGTTCGTTACTCTCTGATGTTTCGTCTTGTATTGTTGTTGTTGGTGGCGTTGTTGTCTTTTCGGTGGCACAGCGACAGAATTTGCGGCACTTCCAATCTTGTCCGAAACCGCAATTCTGCTTGCAATGCCTTTCTTCAGGATGTCCAGGAGTTATTGCCTCACAGGGATATCGACAAGTTGGACCGCAGGGTTCGTTAGTCTCTGATGTTTCGTCTTGTATTGTTGTTGTTGGTGGCGTTGTTGTCTTTTCAGTGGCACAGCGACAGAAGTGTAGGCACTTCCAATCTTGTCCGAAACCGCAATTCTGCTTGCAATGCCTTTCTTCAGGATGTCCAGGAGTTATTGCCTCACAGGGATATCGACAAGTTGGACCGCAGGGTTCGTTACTCTCTGATGTTTCGTCTTGTATTGTTGTTGTTGGTGGCGTTGTTGTCTTTTCGGTGGCACAGCGACAGAATTTGCGGCACTTCCAATCTTGTCCGAAACCGCAATTCTGCTTGCAATGCCTTTCTTCAGGATGTCCAGGAGTTATTGCCTCACAGGGATATCGACAAGTTGGACCGCAGGGTTCGTTAGTCTCTGATGTTTCGTCTTGTATTGTTGTTGTTGGTGGCGTTGTTGTCTTTTCGGTGGCACAGCGACAGAATTTGCGGCACTTCCAATCTTGTCCGAAACCGCAATTCTGCTTGCAATGCCTTTCTTCAGGATGTCCAGGAGTTATTGCCTCACAGGGATATCGACAAGCTGGACCGCAGGGTTCGTTACTCTCTGATGTTTCGTCTTGTATTGTTGTTGTTGGTGGCGTTGTTGTCTTTTCGGTGGCACAGCGACAGAATTTGCGGCACTTCCAATCTTGTCCGAAACCGCAATTCTGCTTGCAATGCCTTTCTTCAGGATGTCCAGGAGTTATTGCCTCACAGGGATATCGACAAGTTGGACCGCAGGGATCTGCTGAGCCAGCAATTACCAAACAAGCAAAGACTGCGAGAAGAAATTTATAATTTACAAAAATCATGCTGAGGAATTGATGTGATTGCGTTCCAAAGGGGGGCGTGTATGAGACACATGCGTGTCTGGTGTTACATGCATACGTCTCCAGAATTCATCACCAACCGTGGTGACCAACTAGGGACAATTAAACCCAAGTGAACTGATGTGAGAAGATGCCGCTTCTAGCATCCTACGCCAAGTCCTCCAAGGCCTGATGGCTCCTCTGCTTCTGGAGGCTTTTCGAGCTTCCAATCGCTTATTTTGTTTGTTTCTCAGATGAAGAATACGAAGAAGGTTAAGATGCGTGGAAAAGAACCTCAGCAGGGATCGAGGACTTCAAGTAGTTTGTCATGCATTCTCCGAGACGGAGGCACACTAGTGGCACAAACGAGACCCCGTGGGGTGATACGCGTGTATACATGTGATACCAGACATGCATACGCCTCCTAACAAACATGAAATGTACAACTTTCGGTATCCTTAGCGGCACAAACTTCAACATTCTGAGTTGGTGGCTCTCAATTTTTATCGTTGGATAGTGAAATCTCTGGCGAAGAATTAAAATGCACCGCGTGAATATCGCGAAAAAAACATCGCTGATGCTAAATCTACAGTAAAAAATATCGGTGAGATTGAATCTCAATAAAATGATTTTTTTCTATACCTCAAGTGGAATCGTTAGTCTCTGATGTTTCGTCTTGTATTGTTGTTGTTGGTGGCGTTGTTGTCTTTTCAGTGGCACAGCGACAGAATTTGAGGCACTTCCAATCTTGTCCGAAACCGCAATTCTGCTTGCAATGCCTTTCTTCAGGATGTCCAGGAGTTATTGCCTCACAGGGATATCGACAAGTTGGACCGCAGGGTTCGTTAGTCTCTGATGTTTCGTCTTGTATTGTTGTTGTTGGTGGCGTTGTTGTCTTTTCAGTGGCACAGCGACAGAAGTGGAGGCACTTCCAATCTTGTCCGAAACCGCAATTCTGCTTGCAATGCCTTTCTTCAGGATGTCCAGGAGTTATTGCCTCACAGGGATATCGACAAGTTGGACCGCAGGGTTCGTTACTCTCTGATGTTTCGTCTTGTATTGTTGTTGTTGGTGGCGTTGTTGTCTTTTCGGTGGCACAGCGACAGAATTTGAGGCAAATCCAATCTTGTCCGAAACCGCAATTCTGCTTGCAATACCTTTCTGAGACATGTCCAGGAATTTTTGATTCACAGGGATATCGACAAGTTGGACCGCAGGGATCTGCTGAGCCAGCAATTACCAAACAAGCAAAGACTGCGAGAAGAAATTTATAATTTACAAAAATCATGCTGAGGAATTGATGTGATTGCGTTTGCGTGTATGAGACACATGCGTGTCTGGTGTTACATGCATACGTCTCCAGAATTCATCACCAACCGTGGTGACCAACTAGGGACAATTAAACCCAAGTGAACTGATGTGAGAGGATGCCGCTTCTAGCATCCTACGCCAAGTCCTCCAAGGCCTGATGGCTCCTCTGCTTCTGGAGGCTTTCCGAGCTTCCAAGCCATCATCTGTAGATCGCTTATTTTGTTTGCTTCTCAGATGAAGAATACGAAGAAGGTCAAGATGCGTGGAAAAGAACCTCAGCAGCGATCGAGGACTTCAAGTAGTTTGTCATGCATTCTCCGAGACGGAGGCACACTAGTGGCACAAACGAGACCCCGTGGGGTGATACTCGTGTATACATGTGATACCAGACATGCATACGCCTCCTAACAAACATGAAATGTACAGCTTTCGGTATCCTTAGCGGCACAAACTTCAACATTCTGAGTTGGTGGCTCTCAATTTTTATCGTTGGATAGTGAAATCTCTGGCGAAGAATTAAAATGCAGCGAGTGAATATCGCGAAAAAAACATCGCTGATGCTAAATCTACAGTAAAAAATGTCGGTGAGATTGAATCTCAATAAAATGAGATTTTTCTATACCTCAAGTGGAATCGTCGTTAGTCTCTGATGTTTCGTCTTGTATTGTTGTTGTTGGTGGCGTTGTTGTCTTTTCGGTGGCACAGCGACAGAATTTGCGGCACTTCCAATCTTGTCCGAAACCGCAATTCTGCTTGCAATGCCTTTCTTCAGGATGTCCAGGAGTTATTGCCTCACAGGGATATCGATAAGTTGGACCGCAGGGTTCGTTACTC